GTCTAAGAAAAGTTCATTTTAGCCTAGAAAAAAAAAACCTAAAATTTAAAAAGTTTATTTTAAAATATTTTTTGAATAATTAGTTAACAATTTCTTAAACAGAAAGACAAGGAACACAGTGACACAACTCATTTTGGAGTTAAATTATAGTTTAAACACTATATGAATAAAACCTGCACTTTGGTGCGAAAAAGAAGATCGCGATTTATTGAAATGTGTCACAATAACATTGCTCGGTTTTAATATTTTAATCCCTTTTCAAAACTCGAAGGAAATAGAGTTATAAGAAAATTTGAAATCCATAGGAGTTGAATCCATAAACGTGAAATTAAAAAAATGAAACTAAGTGTTAAGTAGATACAAACTCTTTGAATTTTTTTTATTCTAGCATGTTTTAATTAAATTTAAAAAATTACCCAGCAACCATTATTCCAAAAATCACTGGCTACGATTTACCAAACAAACAAAATCATTGTCTGTTAGCATTGCAACATTTAGATGCGGTGACAAAAACAGCACGAAAACAAGTTAACAGATCTGGCTAACAGAGGATTTTTTAACTGAAAAAATGATCAAAGTGGTTAATAAATGGAGCCAAAACAGTAGGATTAGAATACCATTTATTTTCCTCTGTTTTATAACCGGGCCATTTAAAGTTTTTTTCTTAACGGATGCTCGAATTCTCCGTTAGTTTAACGGAGAGATGTGAATACGACATAAAATGGCTATGGCTATAATGAACGCTTTGTGGTTCATTTTGAGTAAAGTACTTAAGGTTCTCTGCAAAACCAACACCTACCACAGCTTCATTTTGGTTTCATACATTTATAAACTATTTGATGATATACTTTAGCTTGATTCATTTTTATGCATGATTCAAATAATCAGGAGTTTTAGTTAATAAATAAAGTCAGGAGGTTTAGTTAATAAATAAAATCAGGAGGTATAGTTAATAAAAAAAATAATTAATTTTCAAATTTTTTTAAATGCATGATTCAAATAATTTGTAGGTAGTTCACATTAAATAATAATTTAATTATCAACCCAGTCTTTACTAATTTACCATTTTACCCAATTTTTTATCCATTTTTGCCAAGTTACTTGAATTTTCAATTTCATACTCTAAAGTTTGAATATTTAGTGCATCCATACAATATTTACAGCGAATTCTCACATATATCAAAAATTTAAAGCAAATTCTCACATATAAAATTTAAGTGCATGTCATTATTTGTCAACAAATAATCAAACACATTTTTTTTAAAGCAACTTTTTTGAAACGAATATTTTCATGATTTGAAAACTTATCTCCATCCTTACAAGCTTCAAAATCATTTGGTGAAGCTATACTTATATCATCACTTGATTAATTAGAATTTTGCGCCAAGTTGCTACAATCTAACTTAAATAACAGTTGATTTTCAGCTATTAATGTTTTAAAATTTGTTCTTGCGATCATTTTTTTACTCTTTTTATCTTTAACTTTAAGTTTTTGTTTCTGTATATACAAATAATCTACATTCTAATTTTATAAGAAAAAAATAAAGAAAACAATTGTAAATTACAGCTAATTTCTGCATAATACAAGTAGACAGAGAAAACATTCATAAATTGCAGTTAACGGTTTCATGTCTTCATTCCATATGTAATAATTTTTTGATATTTGCTTATTGCGTTATTATGTTATTGCAATTAACGGTTTCATGTCATATCATATCTACATGTAATAATTTTTAAATATGGTATAACCTTGTTATACCAAATATAAAAATTATTACATGCATTTGTGTCTTATATTTTACGATTTTTTACAATACTTTTTTAATAGGTAAGCAAATAATAGCAGGAATAATGGCAGTTTTAATTTAACAATATTTGATAACTGTTTAATTTTAATTTTATTTTGTTTAACAATTTAAATTATTATCAACAGTACATCCTAAACTGTCTTCAAAGAAAAGTTATTTGGAATACACAAATCAATGTAAAAATGTTTTCATTTTTTAAGGGGATCTGTTTTCATTTTTTAAGGGGAACAAATAAACTGTAAAATAGTAAAAACCGCTGGTACAACGACAACACCACAGCACACACATTTAAGAACAATACACAACATTAATGTATTAAAACGGGATGTCGAACAAGATGAAGGTCCAGAAAGCAGCGCATCAAAATTAGATTACAAACTATTTATTCAACAAAAAAGATGAATCACTGCATTTGTATCACAAATGTGTGCCTTAGATAATATGCCATTCAAAGTTTTCTGTATGCCTATCGATTTGAGAAACTTGTTTTTGGCTAGAGGCTCTCGATATTAAAGCAAGCACTCTAACCATTGCGCCGCGGTTGCTGTATAATCATTTTTTAGCTTGTAATTAACTATAACTCAAAACATGACAAAAAACAAGTGAGGCTAAGTAAATTTTAATTTATTTTAAAAATATACGCTAACAAAAAACAATTTGCGTCGAAATAATAAAACCTAAAAATTCAGTAACAATGAGAATTAAAGTTATTGAATCGCTACAATTATACAATTATACAATTCTTAATGTTTTTGAACGAACAAGAATAAAAAGACATTTATAACGTTTATTGAAAAAAATGTCAGTTTTATAAGGAGAAAAGATGGTTAAGATTATTAGGTTAAATATTCAACTGTTTTTTATCTTTAGGATTTTTTGAAAGCAATAAACAAGATTTAACAAGTAATGACTATGTGCATAAAAAAGACTTTTTGAATATTGACTCTGTAAGACAAATTTATTTTCAGCATGCTGTTTTTTTTACTGAATTCATATTCCCGAGGCCGAGCAGACCATTTTAGTCAAGGATCTACTTCTTACATTAGTTACAACCTCCTCTTAATTATCTAACTCCAAAACACTTTTTGGAGTTAAAGAGGGTTGCAACCAATAGAAACAGGTTGATATACATAAAACATAATATATTTCATAATTCTTCTTCTTTATAAATTGAAAAAAACTTTATAGGTTTCGAATTTAACTCAAAGCTAAATGAAATTTTGAAATTGTTACCAAATTTAACTGAAAGCCAAATTTCTATTTCAACTTCGGCACCAAAGTCAAAGCCAAAATCAACTTCGCCTTTCAGTAAACTTCATAAATCCTTACTCAAGATTATGTATTACCAAACTCACCTAACTTGATTCAAAAAATAGTTTTAAAACGCACAAAAAATATGGGCTAAAATGATCCAGGATTTTATGAATTTAAAAAAGATGGAACAAGATTTTGCTTAACTCTAGATAAATAGATATCTTAAAGAAATCAATGTTATATAAATGTGAAGGTCCATGGCAAGAAACAGTTTTGGAATTTAGGTTTAGTAGCTGTTGAAGGACATTTCTCTGCAGAGAAATGCATTACAGCTCCGAAAACCAGATTGCAAGACAACAACCTAAATATTGATAAAGATATTACACCTATAACAACTGATGGGGCAGGTGTGATGCAAAAAGTTGGGCGGCTTTTACCATGTAATCAGCACTTGTGCTTCGCACATGCAATACATTTAGCTGTAATTGATGTTTGATATAATAATTCAAATACAACTGAATTGGTGGCTCACACATATACAGAAAATGTTAGTGTAGAAAATTAAGTAAATGACTTCGATCTATCAAATGAGGAATACATTGAAGATAAAAATGTTGGGTTGATTGAACAAATTTATAATGAAGCTGAGCTTATTGAGACTGAAGAATTTGGATTTAGTTTTCTCATCAAAAAGGTTTGTTTAATTGTAAAGAAATTTTGTTTTTCAAGAACATCAAATATTCTTCAAGTATATGTGAAAAAAGAATTTGGAAAACATTTGAAACTTATTATGGACACTAGAACTAGATGGAATACCTTAGACGAAATGCTTGAAAGGTTTAACAAGCTAAAAAACGTAATGTATCTGGAACTCTTAAGTATTTACACAATGGGGGAAAAAGTGAGATTCACAGATCTTTCACTAGACCAGTGAAAAAAACAACTGCCAAAATTATTGAAAACTTTGCACAAAGATTGATATTGTACACTAACATGGAAACTTTTTCAGGCGAGCAGTCAGAAGCTGACAATCTGATAGAAGTGATGTTGGAAAAACAAACTAAGCCCTTAACATTAATGCAAAAACTGGAGAACAAAATTCAATTGAATTTATTGTCCAACATAACGTCCAACTCAACTCAACAAATAATAAATAGGAGCTTAATTTCAAAAATTAAATCTGAAAATGAAATTATGTGATGAGAACAGCGTTTGTGGCATAATATTTGAGTCTGTCTACTCATAATTGATTTTGATTCTGCCATCGAGCATAGAGTCTGAGCGAGCCTTCTCAATTGCTGGTAACTTTTGTACAAAAGTTCGAACAAGACTTGGAGCCGCAGCTTTAAGTGATCTCTGCTTCCTCAAGGCATATTTTAGGCAAATAAAACAATAATTTTATATTTTTTATAATTAAATGATATACTAGAATGCTTCTGCACTAATTGAATTTCTTATAATTTCATGTTCCATTTTTATTTCTAAAGAAAGTATTTTTTATGCAAATAACAATGAATTATCTCAAATAAGTTATTTTTTGTTATTTTTACAGACATAAAAAAATTTAAAATATTTTTGGAATTTGATTGAATTCAATTTAATTTCAAATTCTAAATTCCATTTTTTTATTTTCGTGAAAATTTGCATTCTCTACTTACAATAAGTTTTTAAAAAAACTGGTTTAAGAGCTTTGTTTTGAGGTATTCTTCCATTTTGTAGTATTTTCTTTTGGTGTTTAAGATTAACAAATACTAAGGGAAAAAATTTAAATCACAATAGAAGAATCTTAGTTAAATCAAAAAAGAGTTTTTTCTTTTGAAATTCTTTTTCTTTGGCAAACTTTATAGTTGTTAGAATATAAAACTTAAAATATATAAAAACAAAAAAATAAAAACTTAATATTGATAAAAAAAAAAAAACTTTAATAAAATGCTTAACCTGAATATTCAAAAGCCATGACTCTAAATGTAGAACTCCAAATAACTCATCTGTAAGACGACATATTAGTAAATAAATGGCACGTTGAGATAAAAAGCATTGATGAGTTGCATAGTACTCACTCTATATTTAACAAACTAATATCATCATCATCATCATAATTATGATAATCTACTTAATATTCATAGATATTATGATACCTGGCCACCAAAATCCCAAGTACTGAATTTAATAGGCTTCTTTCCATATTTCCAATCACAAATATCCACACCAACAGTGCTCAAATTAGACTTTTTCAAACCACCTTTCAAAAACACATAAATTATTTAACAGAATTAAAGTGTAAATAGAAAGGTCGTATGTAGTTACAATAACGTTCAATTATTATTTAATTCTTTTTATTGAAAACCACATTAAACTGAAAACTAAATCTGAATTTTCATAGCAAAAAACTGAATTTCAGCAACAATTTGTGTCTAAAATGATAAAGTGTAACTTTTATATAGTTATTTATATAGTTAGTTAGAAATTAATATAATATATGCAAGTTTTATATATATAATTATAATTTATTAATATTTATGCAAGTTTCAAAAAGTTAATTAGAACTTAAATTATAATTATATTTAATTATAATTTATTAAAATTCATGCAAGTTTTATATAATTTATCAAAATTAAAATTTATGCAAGTTTTATAAAGTTGATTAGAAAAAATATAATTTAAGTATAGTTGGAATCAATTACAAGCAGATACTTTACAAATTTTAACTAAGAAATTATTAAAATTGAAATAATTAAAATGAAAAATGATAAAAACAATAAACAAATCTTTATTGTGTATACCTCTTTCAGTTATTCGATCAAAAAAATGAAATTTGTAGTCTGGATTTTGATAGCTACCATTTCCTTTTTTCCTCAAGGATGTAAGCAAACTAGTTTTTCCCTTTCCATAGTTACCAACAAACATCAACTTTATATTTGGAAATGGAAGTGCACTAAATAGATAAATTATATTTTTTTAAATATTACTAAAAAACATTAACTTATGCAGCAAAAAAATTTTTTCATCGTCACAAATAAAAATTATCAAAACATTAAAAACATACTTATCATGTAATGACTTCAGATGACGTATTAATGGTTTTATCTTCTTATCCTCATAATTGTCTATAATATGTCTAGGAAGTTGTTTTAAAAGGATACTATCCATCTGTAATGCATAAATCTCAGAACAAAGTCCTAATTCAGATGGGAGAGTGGTAATCTTATTATGATATGCAACTAGCCAATTTAATTTATTTAATTTTTCAATTCCATCAGGAAAACTAATCAGTTTGTTATTTGAAATATCTAAAGTTTTGAGGTTTCGACAAAAAACCTCTGAATTTGAGGGAGTATGTGGTATCTTAAATGATGTATTTGAAACAAAAAAACTAATATTATCAAGAGCATTGTTAGAGAGATCAAGAAAACATAATTTATTTAGTTGTCTGTGCTTGCGATGTTGACAGAAATAACTTTCATTTGGAAAAGATAAACGTTTACTAATCTTTCTTTTTGCAAAAGCATAGCATCCAAGATTTTTCGGTTCTGCTAAATTAAATGTTTTCATGCTGTTTCCAACTAGCTGTAAATTACTCAAATTTTCTGGAAATAAATACATACAGTCAACTACAGCTATTTGATTATGGTTCAAGCTTAATTTTGTTAAATTAGGTGCAAGACATGCAAGTCCCAAAGGAATCTCTGTAAATTTATTATTTGACAAATCTAGTTTGTCCAAACCAATTTTTTTAGAAAAAGCGCTTTCCTCCTCATCAGAATCATCAAATTCGTCTTCCCATGTAGGTCTTTTTTTGAAAAGAAATTCTTTAGAAGTTGCAAATGCATTTTTCTTACTGCGAACATCTATATCTTTTTCTTCTTTTTTTCTAAATGAAAAATTTCTAAAAGTTTTGCAAAAATTATTTTATTATAAAAATGTTACATAAATTTTTTGTTTTTTTCTTGTTATTCACCTCTTAAAGGCAACTAGAGTCAAAGAGGCTACTTTTTGTGGTTACAACCCTCTCTTAACTCTATAACTCCGAAACACAAACCTCAACAAACAAGCCCCTGGGTGGAGAAACAAGTTGAGTGTGGTACTCACGGCTGTTTCACTCAATATAAAAGCGAGCCTGACGTCACGAGTTTATCAAAAAAAAAAGTATTTCCGCATAAAAAGTATAAAAATTCATTAACTTTAAAATAATAGTATTTTTTTTCTATAAATGCTTTCATCTTCAAATAAAAAAAATATAAAAGATCTATCTTTCCTTGTTAAATAAACATTTACATTAAACGGAATAAAAATGAAAGCTGTAAAAATATTGTTAATAATTTGGCATCACTTTTCTGATTTTTGCGATTTTTACGCAAAACCTGTCTTAGGCCAACTAAGATTTGATAACATAGCTACATGGTCGATGGTTGAAATTTAGAACAGTTATTAATGAATGTCTGCTCTATCTAGATTTCCACAGACTTTGCAAGTTTTTATATAGAAAGTTAGTTTTTAATGCATTTATATTTTTGTTTTTATTCGTTTTGAATAAAAAACATAACATTTTTGAAAAGTCTGTGGATTTAGTAATACTTCAACTTTATATGAATAAGAAAATCAAAAAATTATTTTCTGTACCTCTAGCTATGTTATCAAATATGTTTTCAAACTTGGCATGTTTAGCGACATTTTTTTTAGTTTTTTTTGCATAAATTCTTGTTTACATTTTAAAGCGGTGACGCAAACTCTGATCGTTACGTCCCCAACGATTATCGGATGCATTTTAAGAAAACAAACAAAACAAACGAGACACATTTTATAGAATAAATAACAAAGTTTCGCGGATTAATTTCTCTTGGATATTTGACTAATTTCAGATAAGTTGATTAATCCGATTTTATCTAGTGCATCTATTTGTCAATATTATTCTATTTAAGTTGTTTGTATTATAATTTTATTACTATATCAATAAAGATTATAAAGCAAAGTTTCGTGGATTATTTCCTCGTGGATATTCGACTAATCTCAGATAAGTTGCTTAATTCTTTTATTTTTAGTGTATTTATTTGTAAATATTATTTTATTTAATTTCTTTTATTATATTATTATTATAATATCATTATCATTATTTATGTGATGTATGCAACTGAGAGGGAAATTTTGAAACTGTACATCGGTTGGGAAGATGGTTGGGAAAATGAGTATAACTTTAATTTTGTAAAGCGAGTAATTGACACTAGAAAGATCACTAACAATGTGATTTCAATTTTATTAACAGTTTTTCATCCAAAAGCGTTGTTTACTTTTTTAAGTTTTCTTTTGCCAATTGAGTTTAATATGCCTAATATTGATGTGTTGAATAAAATGTGCCGAAAAATAAAACAAAGAAAAAAAGATTCTAAAAAGTATTTTGAAGCTTCAAAAAACGAAGCATTTTTTAAAATGCAACTGTCTCCAGCTCCACAAACAAAAAAACAAAAAAAATCAGCAGATGCAGATAATTTTTATATTTTAAATAGGAATAAGGAACTAAGTAGTCAAGTTGAACAATTCATTTCTAAAGAAAAAAATAATGTGGAGCAAATAGATAATTTAAAAATACAGGTATCAAAGTTGGAAACTGAAGTTATATATTTAAATTCTAAAAACAAGGCTCTCAACGCACATTGTAACTCATTAAGTTCTCAATTAGAGACTATGAGTATTAGGCTAAAACAGGAGGAGCAGTTCCAACTTTAAAAAAAAAATAAATTAAAAACAGCACACTGTAAATTTGCATCTGCTCGTGCCAAAAATGTAAGATTGCTAAAAAAATTTAAATTTGAAAAAAAAAAATGCAAAAATCAGTGATATAAACAAGAACAGTTGCCAAATTTGCAAATATTTTGCTAGCAGTGATAAGGATTTAGTTGTCGTTGATTCTTATTTAGACTATGACAACATTGGTTCCTCTGAATTATTCTGTGGGTTTAAATTAAGTAATCCACAGACTATATCAGTTAAAAAACCAATAGTTGGTAAGAAATATACTTACATTAAGTTAGGAGATGGTAAATCTTATTCTAAGTTAGGTAGGCATGCTGCAGCTAGACGATCTAAACTTGCTTTTATATTCCTTCGATTATTAGCTTGTTCAGATTTGGAAAGTGATTTGTCTATGTTGTTTTGTGATTCTGTGTCTTGTGAAAAGTCTATGTTTCATTGTGCTGCAAATAAGTTGGGTTTAGTTAGGCAGTTAAGTGTTTCTGATGCTGTAGAGCTGCAGAGCCAATTAAGGATGCCCACGCTGAATTCCGTAGGCTAAGACGTATTCTGTGTAATCTTGGTGCAAGGATTCTCCCATCTGAGCCCAAGATAAGACAAGAACAAGAAATGCGGACAATGTATGTTAGTAAAGAACTTGTTACTGTAAAGTCCATGTTGCTTTATCCATCTGCGAATGAAGCACCTTGTTTAGTACCTGTATTGATGGTCAAGAATTTGATAACTTATATTGAAGAGGTTTTCAATAGTCTGCACGTTCGTGACCACTTCAATTCTGATGTCGGTTTTTGCGAAGAGGTATGGCTCCTTTTTGCTGGGGATAAGGGTGGGAAGTATATGAAATTCCATTTTGAAGTTGTCAATTCTAAACCATCAGGGTCTGTATATGATGTTCATTTATTTTGTATGTATCAGGGTTCAGACTGTCGTGAGAATATTGCCTTAGTTCTCGGGCATTATGCAAACGACATTAAAAGAATTCAGTCGTCAGATTTTAAGCTAAAAGGCAAAAGAGTCAGGTTGTTCTTAGGTGGAGATTTTCATTTTATCGATGATGTTCTGGGACACCAGGGTTCAGCTGCTAGCTTTCCTAGTTCTACAGACCTAGTTAAGTTGAATTCTCTAAGAAACCATGCTTCTATGCCTCACACACCTGCTAATTGTAACATCTTAATTAGGACAATACAATCTCTGGAAAGTGCTTACAATGAGAACTTGTGTGAAGATAGACAAGGTGGAAACCTAAGAGCTCTAGGTAAGTTTCATAATTCAATTATTGCTCATGTGATTTTCCCCATAATAACTTTAGATAATGTAGTGCCACCTGTTTTGCATATTATGTTAGGAGTTGTGTTAAAACTTTATAAGTTATTGTTGAAGGAGTGTAAGACTTTGGATTGTCAAGCTGTTTCGTCTTTGTCGCATAATGAGAATGTGAGAACGAATGAATTGTGGGCTGCTAAAAGCTTTGAATGTTCTAAAACAGCAGACTCTTTACGTTTATTAGGAAATCAATTTGTAGACGTTGCAAATCTACAGACTCGTTGGTTAGCTTTTGATAAAAATATTTCTGAATTGGAATGCATATCTCTAAACTCCTCCAATAAGAAAAAAACCTGTAAACAGCAAGAAAAGTGTGCTAGTATCAGGTGTTTAATTACTAAATATGATTGTAACATTGATTGGGTGCAGTGTGGTACGTGCCAAAAATTGTTCCATCAATTTTGTGAAATTATTGGTGGTTCGGAAAAGAATGTATTGTGTGATATAGAGAAGTATGAGTGTTTAGCATGTCAGGGTGAAGATTTAGAATGTCTTGACTTTTATATTTCTAAAAAAATTTCTTTTATACGCGCACAGCGCGAAGTTTTAGACGTTGAGTATATTCGATTGCAGATAGAGTCTGAAGACCTAGAAAAAATATCTATAAGTAGCATGGGGACTCATGAGAGGTCTCTTTATAAGGCCCTTGAAGATATGAAAGTTGAGCGACAAGCTTACCATGGTAATGTATTTGTAGGTAATCATTGTAAAATAGTATTAAGAAACCACTATAAACTTTGTAGTGTTATTGATGATGAAGCAATTAAAAATAGATTTGTACGTAATGTTTGTTCAAAATAATAATAATTTTTTATTACAATGATTTTATATATTAGGTAGATGCCCATTCTGTTCCTATTTTCAAAAGTTTATTATATCTATGCAATGCCGTTGCTCAGGTTAAAGAATGGAATAAAAGTCTAGCATCAAATGTATAGCTAACTATTTTAATTTGTGATCAGAGCAACTGGTATGTTTGTTGGATATGATTTTGTATGTTTATGTAGTTAATTCAAAAAACGTTTTATCCTTTGTTATGTAATATGTAACATTTTTTATATATATTAGATCTCCGTTCAATTTTTATCATCAAAAGTTAGTTCTACCTTCGCAGGACCTCTGCTCTACATACCTCCTCTCTGGTTAAAGAATGGAATATAAGTCTCATTTATCAAGTTGGTGTAAAAATTTAGCTTGATAAATTAAGAAGTTGTAAACTTTATTATCACAATTGCCAAGTTGACCAAATGTTCTTCTGGTTTTAAATGAATTATGTATGAGTCTAGTATCAACTGGGTGTTCAAAGATAGTTTACTGCTTGAAGAACTTATCAATGGACCAACTAATTATAAAACAGTTTTCAATGAAAATAAAAACGAATTATCAAAAGATTTAAATCAGCTATTTGTGTATATTTAAACACTGTATTTTTTGTGAGAAGAGATTATTGATACAAGTACCATAAAATAATTCTACTACCAAAAGCTAGGTTAATTCAAAACCTTTAACTCAATTTTGGTCATGAATTATTTTATTAGAATTGATGAGTTTTTATTTATTAACTACCTAATACCATATTATTAGAACTTTATTTTGTAATGTAATGATTTTATCAGCGTTCCAAAATAATTTTCTAAATCAAGAACTTCTATATTAAAAAAAGTACTCATTTAACAACTAATCCCCCCTTATAACGACGTTTTTCATAACTTTGCGAAAAATGTGGTTTGCTTTCACAATTCGATTAAGGCTGTTTTAGTTAACCTTAAATAATTAAGTAAGGTTTTTTTGTTTTCATTATTG